TATATATATAAGGGAGAGAATTTATTTCATTAAGTGCCTAACTTTGACTTATGCAAGCCCTAGGCTGTCATATGTTTCAGCCTTTTTTTGTTTGCATTTTTTTCCATTGACGTTATTTATAATATTTTTGAATTAAAAAAATGTTGTATAATATTGCAAATATTGTGTATGTGTAACTGATTATACTAAAAATAATTGATAATACTTATAAATAATTATCACAACGATATTTATTTAATGAATATGTGATATTTTTGTATCCATTTTATCTGTATATATTGATGGATATATATTTGATGGAATGTGAAATAATATTATTTGCATTGGATATTAGATGATTTAAATTTTGTACTGGTTATAACACTGACTATGCTTTTCCACCATCTCAAAAATTATCTGATGACAAAGCACATTTTACAAAATATGAGATAAGCACACACTGTCAGAATGACTTATTCTTATTTTCCAAGAGTCAACCTTTGGGAGCCTTTGTATTTTCGGCTCTTCTTGCTCTACCTTGGGCTGGGCTCCTCCTGTAGTCAGTTAACACTTTCTCTTGTTACAAATATGGAAGTAAATATTTCAATGAAAAACATTCAAAAGTTTGGCTAATGAAATTTTGCTTCTGTTAAAATTTTGCCTGCTCCCAAAAATTGTAAGCCCCAGGCTGCAAGCCTAATTAGCCTGTTCAGTAATCTGGCTCTGATTCCATTAATGAAATCTATTCTTCAAAAAATTAGGCCTTGAAATCAGGCCACTTCAATTCTTTTCACAATGTGTATACTTTTGGCATGATATTGAGAGAAATAAAGACAATTAAAAAGAACATGTAAAACATTTTCTCAATAATGTCTCCAAATTTTGTTTTAAAATTCTTTGTTAGATTATAATTTACTTTATTACATGGAATAGGACCTATTTGCATTAAGAACATTGGAATTTTGAAAAATGAAACAGTATAATAACCATTCTTTGGTATCTTCCTTCTACTTCAGTATTGAAGATAGACTCGTTTTGTTGGAACAAATTTCACATAAGATTGTATGGGAATCGAACCCAGAACTCTAAGAAAGACAAGCAACTTCACTCTTGAGTTATGAAATGACCAAATACCATTAAATTGATATTAAAGAAATTCAAATATATTGATGTATACGTTCTGAGTGACTTCAATTAAAAATTAATTTGCATATGTAATTCGATTGTTACGTACCTCATATTTCAACTTCTTGCTCATCTGCAAAAGAGAGGATCATTGTAGTTTTGTAATTTTATTGAGATTTACCAGTTATAATAGCAAATTATTTTGAATGAATTTTATTTGTATTATCTTACCATATCAAATGGTTAAAGCTGCGAAACGACCAACTTTGAGATATACGTTTTATGTATCAACTACAAACCACCACACCGTGTAGATACTGCAACAAAATATTACAAAACAGCATTATTTCTTGAAAATTTACTGATATTTTAAAAATAAATTACTATAATTACATGCTTTAAATATAACTACCGGTAGCGGAAGAAAAACGCCGCCGAACGAAACCACACAACATAATTTTCCAAAAAGTGGCTCGCACATTGCTCAAGAACAACACATAAAATACGCGTCTATAACACTGCAACACATTTAATTTAACAAAGTCTGTCTTCACCAAACTGCAGTAACATAGTATATTATATACGGATCCACAGTAGGTCTACAACAGTTCTTTACAAAACAAGAATATAAAATTAGTAGAGCCACAACAGCACAAACTTTCTCACTTTATTTTTTAACTTTCGCAATTTTCGAAAATTGAACAAGTTTTAAAAAAGAGACCTGCTCAATTTTTTAGAGCCGTATATTCTGTATATGCATTGCATTAATTTAAAGCAGAAATTACTCATATACAACTCGTTTATTCGAAATAATGTACTTGACCTATGTTTAAGATCTAATTTTTTTTAGAACACATTTCATTTAAGAAGAAATCTCTATCAATATGGTACCACATTTGCGATGTTATTTCTTTTGCAATTTTCGAAAATACAATTTGCCGTAGAGGGACCATAGCCAATCTTTTTTATTGTCTTTTGCTACACCCGAAAAAAGACAAAAATTAAGCAATTTTTGAGAAAATAATTATTTAACAATTGTTTATATCTCACGCAAAATTACGTGAAATGTACTCATATGATAAGTAATAATGAGAAAGTATTGTAATTGTTTGGCGGAAATCGGCAGTTTTTCACAGAAAACTCTTCTTCTCCCACCCTGACAACAAAACAAGCGGTACTTCAACAGCAGACACTTTCTCGCATTATTTGTAACTTTTATAACCTTCGAAAACTCAGACCAGCCGACAGGTAGCTCAGGGAATCAACTGATGTCACTGCAGTACCTCTGGTCAGAGGATCCGAGAGTTCCAGTCCCGATAGTGGAAGGATTTTCTTCATTAGCTAGCTACATCGAATTCAGTCGCCGTCTGAAGTAGAATTTCTTCTGACCGGTCGTTCTCGTCGGTAGTTTTCCGTGCTTTCACCGGTCAACTCCAGTTGAATGCCGGAGTCGGTTTGTGCCCTGACAGACGGGCCACGTACCACGTGCGTTCTTTCCTTCCTCTTTATTGCTTTTATCCTCACCTCTTACTTGCAAACATACTTACATGCACTACACTACTACACATGTTGGGAGCTTAGAATTCTGAAGAGTAGAATTCACCAGAAGGTCATCTACCCAAGCTGGGTAGATGCCCTTCTGGTGGGAGAATCCTTGGTGGGGAAATCTCCCCAAGCTGACGTGTAGGTGGGCATCGGATCAAAACCATCGAGCGAGGGGAGAACACCGCAACCTCTCGTTATAAAAGCATGCACTTAACTTCCAAGAATTATGACCGTAGCAGTTGACATGCCTAGAGACACAAATACTCAATCAATCGAAAATTCAGAGAGTTGAAAGAAATCGAAAACTGCGCCATTTTTAAGTGACATTTGCTCTATCCGTGCAAACAAAAATTAAAGAACAAATTTGAAGCCATTCTTGAGTTACCCTTTGTTATAAATTGCATTACCCTCAACTAGTAATTAAATTAAAAGTACTAGTTTTTTTCTCAAAAAAAGGTTGATTGTTTAGAACAGTTTCCATTTAAAACGAAAACTTATCTTCAGCATTGTACTTTGTAATGTTAACTTTTTTAAACTTTCGAAAATACAGAATTTGCCCCAAATTGGACCAGCGCCAGTTTTATTGTCCTTTGGTACATACGTGGATAAATTTTAAAGAAAAACTTTGAGCTGCTTTTGGGAAAATAATTATTTAAAAATTGCCCAAATTTCACGCAAAATTACAGTAAAATCCTCATATTTTTGGAAAATTGTACATGACTTTATTTCATGTCAGTGTGTCGATCCGACGCACTTCCGGCTCTAAAAAACTTAGTTTTTAATTTTTATTGTTGGGCAAGGATTACAAAACGCTCTGTGTTGAGTGTTTTTTGAATACATGGCTATAATTTCCTGAATTTTCTAAACATCTTAACTATGAACGATGTAATCAAAAGAAAAGGAGCGAATTTGAAATGATTTGTACCTTTATAGGTGCTATTAGAAAACAAGCTATAGGTGCTATCATCAACTCCATTAATATTTTTCTAATCAATAATATTTTGATATTTATTGCACCATTCAGTCGCCAGTTTACATTGATTCCCAATAGTCCCCATAATTTTCTCTGACCTTTAAAATTTCACCGACAACGGGATCGATGCTGACGAAGACGCGAACCTCCGGCCGTTCAGATGATTTTCTCCAAAATTGATATTGCCCCATCAATCTGATGGAATTAGAGATCCTGAGAGTTTGAAATCGATATTTTGATGTTGGGGGTATAACTCGAAGCCTCAACATTTTAAAATGTTTCTCCAAACATGGCTCTAAATTTTGATTAAACTTTATCTTCGGATAGAGAAAATAACGCTTGAAAATAGAGCAGTCTCATTTTCATTAAAATCTCTGAATGTTTGATAAATGCAAAAATTTTAAAATCTATAAGTCTTGAAAAAAGATCATGTACAATTTTCGAAAATGTGATTTTGCACGTAATGATGCACGAAATATATGCATTTTTAACAATTATTTTCTAAAAGACGGCTCTGCATTTTTTCTTTAAATATTTCCTCATTTGTAGCAAACGACAGTACAAAAATTGGTGCAGGCTCCATTTGTTGCGAACTCTGTATTTTCAAAACGAATAAAATATTAACATTGCAAAAGAACATGTAATAGAGATTTTTGTTATAAATGAAATATGTTCTAAAAGTAGGTCTTAAAAAGATCAGATAGAATTGTTTGAATAAATTTACGTAATTTAAGCTCTACGTTCTTGCAAATTATAAAAATATTTCAAAATCAGATCCAAATTTTTTCTTTAAATTTTTTCATTGCTTGAGCCAAGGAGGCTTGAAAATCTGTAGTAGGTCTCATATTTGTTAAACTTTCTGAATCTTCAAAAATTGCTTAAGTTAGAAATAACGCAAGAAACCATGTGCTGCTGTAGCACCACTAGTTTCGATACCCCTTTTTTGCTCTTCAATAAAACAGGTGTTCATTGTCAGAAATTAAAATCCGGTTGTAAGCAAACAAAGTAATTGTAAAAATAGTCATCTGTCTTATTGGAAAAGGGTGCAAGCGTTCTTTAAAACATAAGGGGGCCGCTGTATATAATTGGAAGCACCGAAAAAGCTCGCATGTTACTTACGATGGATTTCTAGTTTTAGTATCAACCCTCTACTTAAACAACTGAACGTTAAGGAAGTGCCAAAGGAATCTATAGAAATATGACACATTTTTCGTCTTTAATGAAAGGAAACTTTAGAATCGTGGCAAAATTTCAGTATCAAGTGACGATGTTCACTGCTAGATCCAGAAACAGACGACACCTCGGAATTTGTTGTTGCCGCGCCGCTGACACATTCCTTGCAGTTCAGAAGTGGCTATAGCAACATGCCTCTTACACGAGTCGAATGATGTGAAAGCCCGCTGATGTTCCGAAAGGTCCCTTGCGATGAAGCATCAAAGGCTATCTCTAAATAAAACGAGTCGATTCTATTGGGTTATTTACGTAGGGCTACTCATAAAACATCACCACATAAAAAAATCAATATAGAGCACTATTCTGTATAATACTTTACCTAAAGGTATTGTAAAGAAAATATGTTACAAGAGGTGCTACAACAGCAAATACTTTCTCGCATTATTTGTTACTTAGTTTCAAAAAAATCGGAGTTTAACGAAAACGAGACCTTTGTGATTTTGTTATACGTCTTTTTCTCTGACCGAGGAAATATTTTATTTAAAAACATTGAGCCATTTTTGAGAAGTTTGAAAATGTTAAGGCTTGACAAAAAGGACCCTCAGAATCAAACTATCCATTCCAAATTCTCAGGACGTTGAGTTAGTCCAGATCAATAGGGGAATGTCACTTTTCGAGAAACTTGTCTCAAAGGTTTAGGCACTAGCGTTGAACACAGATACAGACGTTTTGATGTCAAATATATAAAAAACGATGCGATAATGTTTACTGAGCAACTCATACGGGTACTATAAAGTTTCATTTTAGTGGTCTTTTTGTATTTACAATAGCACGAGTTACTATCACTTCAGAGTAACACCACCGACTATCATAGCTTAACGCCAACAGACTAGCAAAGGTGGCTCAGAGCATGAACGGATGTCTCAGTAATGCCGGGAGGTATTAGGGTTTGAGTCCTGACGGTGGCAGAATTTCGACACTAGTTAGATAGCTAGGTCGAATTCAGCTGCTGTCTGGAAGAGAATTTTAGTGGCCGACTGCTCTGATAGATAGTTTTTCCGTGGTTTCTCCGACCAACGCCAGGAGAAAGCCACGGACCGCGAGCGATCTTCCCTTCCTCTTCCTTGTTTTATCCTCACCCATTCCACTCACTTCTACTCCATGCACTACACTATCACACTTGTTGGGAAACCAGTCGGGAGCTTAGAACGGCAGCTGTGCCACGCTGGTGTGTGGTACCTGGTTTGGAAAATACAAGCAGATACTCTAATAATACAAGCAGACGTAGGTCTGCGCAGCACCTCGCCACTCAGCTGGATGATAACTGCCGCCTCCCGCGATAAGACATTACATTTACATTTACATTTACAGGACTAATTCCCTTAGCAGTTGACGCGCCCGGAATCACTAAGCAGTCAATCAATTAACGGCAACACCGTTGGCTAGATTGACTTCAACCACAGTGAGGAGAATACTAGCTGCCGGCTTCTCAGGTGATTACCAGATCAGTAACAAAGGGGCCACGGATAGTGAGTGATTTTCCGTCCTCATAGTTGTTTCCGCTCTTACCTTACACACACTCTTGCATGCACTGTCACATATGTGAGGAGGCCAGACAGTAGCTGAGAGCTTGTCTCAGCTGGGGCGATGCCACGCCAGGAGAGAGACGTCGAGGTGGGAAAACTACGCAAGCCGGCGTGTAGGTCTGCGCCGGATCTCACATTCAAGCGGAGGAGGATCCCCTCCATTTCCCGACTATATCATGCGCTACACTTATAGTTCTAATCACCGATGTAACTGACATGCTCGGAATCAAAAATGTACGTGCACCATTCTCCGGCTTCTTATTATTATATTCTTCATTAAAATTTATTTTATTATAATATTTAATATAATAATTATTGTCATAGTGAATATGGTTTGGAATATATCCACATTTTGTGAAAATTATTCCCTTCTATAATTTATAAAAATAATATTTGCTAGCGGCATGTTGCTGTTTTAATTGGATCTCAAGAATTAGTCTGCCCATGTAAGAATTTAAAATCACGTCGTGTTTATCGTACAGCAAATGCATTTTTTTCTAATGCAAAAAAAAAAAAAACGGAACTGAAAGAAAGAATTTATCTACTTAGTAGTCATACGCCAAATTTTCATCATTTCCATCATCCAATCTCAGGTTTTTCGTCCCGTTTTGCTGATCCATTGAGCAAATGCTGAGATGGCGCCTTGTTTTGCTTCTGGATATAAATGTAGCTTCATTATGCACTCTATTTGTTGCGCTCACCTTTGCTAGACGTGGAAGACGTAGAACCGAGGGTGGGGGTTGCTATTTTTTTGAAATATGATAAAATGAATTATATAGTTTGCTTACTGATGCGGGTACGTTTTCTAAAACTCGGAAGTGCAAATTTATAGTTTTCACATGTTGCTAACCTCGCTTCGTTTGTACTAGTATTCGTCGTTTAACTATATGTAGTAAAAGGGATGTGAAAATATTGTGGAGCTCAAGAAAGCGTGCACAGTTTATAATTCTCCCTCATATACCATACACAGGTTCTACTGTTTTTTGATGAAAAATAAATCAAACCAAAACACACCGTGCAGATCAGTTCAAACTAATCTGCCAGAACACGACAGAACTTCAGGGAACACGTACACGAAGTCAGGATACATCGTATACCTACAGATGCCTCGCAAGGTATCAGGTGCGCGTCGGGAGTCAGATTACTCGCGGTGTCGACCTGGTGAGGTGCCGTACATTGAAAGTCTGTGGTAGTAAATGCGAATAAACTAGATTTTATCCATCATTCAACTAACTTTCATTTAATTGTTTATTCTTTCAACGTTTTGTACTGTCATTATCCGATTTCATCTGTTTGGGGAACTACGTGTTTGAAACAACAGTTACTGGCAAATAAGCAACTTTAAATAATTCTTTCCAGCTGTTTCTAAATTTTTCTCTAGTACTCAAAACTTCACAATATCCTGAAATCTACTGTTTTTTCGTTTATCGCAAATTCTAGGTTTGTTTCACTTTCAGCTCATATTAACCTGTCGGATTAATTTTTCCAATTCTTGTGTAAATATATATCCATTTCCTCATTTCTTTTCTATATTGGAATATAGAAAAGAAGTAAGGAAGAATTGTCATGTAGTTACAAACCGGTTTCTTCGTTATACTGAAAATTTTCTTCAAGAAATTGAACACCAACCTCACGTGCACTACACATTTTTATAAACAAAGATATAATTCACAATTCTAAAGTAATAAGAATAAGTACAAGTATGTATAAACATTACAGGGAGAGTCGAATTATAACATTCATATTAAGAAAATTCGAGGTACGACCACTCGCAGGAAGTGAATTAACAGGATCTGTTGAGACGAATGTTCTTCTCACATTAAAAAAACTCTTATCGACATAAAACACGATTACATTCTTGTGCATTACTTATAATTATCTTACTTCATTGCAAGTGATTAAGTATGCTTTAATAAAGAAAGCATGAAACTCACCTCAAACGAAGTTCGAACTCCAAGACGACTCTCAGCGGCACCCAGTCGGTAACCCCACGTAATAACTCAGGGTGTCAAGTCACTACTGTGTCACGACCAAAGCTTCGCCACCGCACATTTCACCTCCACAAGCAATCTGAATTTTGCATGTTGGCAAACATGTTCATTGAACATGGAAATGTAAATTAAAATTTTCCTCTCGACATTTTCTAATAGTACTTCCAAATTAGTGGAAATATAGGAAAAGGTAAAGTAATTAAGAACAAGGTAATATTTCTTTAATTTAATGTTTAATTTCGTCGGTATTTTCAAGTCAGCCAACGCTCGTACAACAAAAATATATGTATGTAGTATCAACAGAAAGTAATTTGTGAACATTACTTCAAAACATTCGTTCGCGAGGATATAAATTTATCATTCATTCAAAATACTTTCAAATCTACTTGTTAAAAATATAATAATAATAAAAATTTACACGTGCATTTTTTATAAATTTTTGATCAGTATTTATGTTATCAATGTTAAGTGATTATATGCAAGATTTGCAAGTTTTTTTTCTCAAACTTCTATTTTTATTTTGTCTTTCTGATTACTACGCAGTGCACATATACATCGGCTTAAGAAGGAAGCTACACGACTTCAGCTTTTCGCATTGCCCGCCATCTTGCTCTGAAAAGCTCTAAGTCGTTTGCTGCGCTCTATGCGTGAACAGTGAGAACTAGCACAATCAAGTTTCAGTTTTAGACCGGGACTTGACCCACCTATTCACTTGCACCGTGACCCTGAGGCCTTCGCTTCCCCTTTTACAAAGGGATTGGTGGCATGTGACGTGCCATAGCGCAGGAAAACGAAAACTTTTAAGTAGGTTACGTAGTAACAAACATATCATTCAAGCAATATTTCACTAGTTATAGCAACATTTACTAATAAAAAATAATGCGTAATCGAGTGAAATCGCCTCGTTCATGTCTAATGACCACTCATGTACTAGAAACTAACCATTTAAAATGTTTCCTCAAAAATTATCTTTTTGACGGTAAATGGCAAATCAATTTCGTTTACTTTTATACAATAGTTCATTATGAAAAATGAATTGCAAACACATCAGTAATTCTTCATTCTCATTCTTAATGCACTACACATACGAGACTAATGACCACTGTAGTTGATGCGCTCGGAAACACCAAACAATCATTCACTAAAAAAAAATCGCTTATTTCTTTTACTTTCTCGCCCTTAATAACGTAACGTAAGAAGAGGAAGTATTGTAATCGTGCACCCGAAACGGCGAATTTTATTCAGAAAAACTCGTATTATATCCCCCGATCGGTTGATTGATTGTTTAGTGATTCCGAACACGTTAACTACCAGGGTCATTAGTCCCGTAAGTGATTTGCTCCCGCATGATTTGCTCGGGAGGTGGTTACGATCTTTCTCCCGCTGTATGGCGAGATCCGGCGCCGACCTACTTGTCTAGCGTGGTTTTCCCCAACCAGGTATCTCTCACCAGCGGGGCACCGCCCCAGCCGTATTCCCCGGTCGATCTGGCCGAACTCGACACCCTGATAATTTGAAACGGATATTTTGATTTTGGGGATACTTTACATGAATCCTTAGCATTTTCAAAATTTTCTCAAAAATGGACCCAATTTTTTCTTCGAAAAGAGCAAAGTACGCTTAAAATTCCCCACAGGTTGCATTTTCGGCAAATTCCGTATTTTCTAACGTTTCAAAAAATCAACTTTACAAAACTACAATATGGATGTTTTCCTTAGTGAAATTGTTCTAAAAAGATTTAATGATTGCTCTTAATCAATTTGAAAAAATTAATAGTTTTCGAGTAAGTTTTGCTCTTAATAATTTTTTCTAAAAAATTGCCCCAAATTTCTTTTAATGTTTTCCTCGGATAGTGAAGATGCTTAAAAATGGTGCAGGTAACATTTTCGTTGATCTGAATTGCTTGTTACAAATAATGCGAGAACGTGCTTGTCATTTAGCACCTAGTTTTTTATCCTAACACTAAATAGCAATAATTTATTATTCACTTAAATTACAATTTGGCTTGCGGAATATTTCAAATCGCAAAAGGGCTTCAATTTTACCTGTATGATTACGTTGTAGTCTCAGCACAGGCATACTCTTTAATGTATTAATCCTGTCAAGGAGAGTTCAATGAGACCCTGCACGAACAAAAATCGATTAATTCTGATGTTTCTTGCGATAGTGGAGTTACTCATTTTAGTGTCCACGTTAACGTAATCCTGATCCAAGCCATAAAAAAACATTTTATGCTAGACACCGTTATGAATTCTAATACAGAAAAATAGATTAACTTGATGGAAATTCATTTTCTGGCACAAAGTAACATTTGAAATGTCAAAATTCTTTGAGGATAGGGATATAGGGAATCCCTATTAAAGGTGTTCAACGATACGTATGGAAATAAAATTAACTTTGCTTTACGTATATAATTTGATTCCGTACGCCCGCTGCTACTCAGTTGCCAAAGCGATAATTTACAGTTTTAAGTTGGAACAAGAGGTTCTGAGGCATTGTAAGTAGAGAATGAGTTAAGTTCACACCGACTTGAGACTTACGTTGATCAGCTGCAGTGGACGAAGGGCTCTTTCGATTGACTAACTTCCGAGATAAGGAAGAGGAAAAATTTATAATGAGAAAAATAAAATTGAGGTGTTACCTTTAGTTCAAGGTCCCGCAGGGGAAAAACCCTTAATGTTCACACTGCGTTGTGTTAATAGTCCACGCCACAGACACTCGAGGGCGGAAGTAGGAAGAGGCAAGTTCAGGCGCACATTTGAAAACAAATCTGTTCACAAGGTAGAAAATTTGCGGAAAAAAAAAAAACGGAAGAAAAACAATTTATTGGACTCTTTTACACACATTTTATATTAATAAAATTAAAAATATATAGAATAAAATAGTTTATAAAATCTCTGAATAAGCGATCAAATTTTTGATGCTGAACAAAGTTGAGCTATCAAAGCGATAATGCAGCGGGGAAGACAGCAGACGCACCTTACAAGGCATGTTCTAGTTATCTCGAACATCTGTAACAAAAAAAAAAAAACCACTTAGAAAAGTAAGTTTACGAGACTATTTACAACAGGTGATAATGTTACCTTCAGAGGTAAAACAGAGATGCACGGTAAGACCGTTTCTACAACGTCTAGACCTTTACACATGCACCTATCAGCACACGATGCCACTTTGTACAAACTGATCACTGGTTCGCAGACACCAATCCAAGGCACGAGACCAATCACTACGAACCCTGCTACCACCTCGCCTACTGTCAATGCAAGGCCCACAAACGGCAATGATTTGACGCCAGCATAGAGACGCAGTAGCCCCTGTACTAGGGGAAGGTCGTGCACGCGCTGCAAGAACACTGACCCCGGCGATCGCGGATCAGAGATGGCCGTCTCCATTCCAAAGTAGTCTTCCTGAACATGTAATTTCTCCGAAGGTTGAGAAGACGCCACGGAGCTAGGTGAACTATGTAGCGACGACTCCCGATTTCCTAATGCGTCGGGAACAAGTGGAACATCAGCGGAGTTCACAGAGGTTTTCACGATATCCGCTCGTGATGCTTGCATCGCGTTACTAAAGAAAAATTACGCTCGTAGCTTACTGCCTTTTGTATCTGTACTCTCTATAAATTTTCTGCTGATGACTTAACCCCCTGCCCTCTCCTTTTATAGGAAACGGATCGCTGGCTAGCAGCTGAACTTTTACCGCCCTCGACAGCAGCCAATAACAGTTCGAGTTTGTTTTCGCCACATGTGCAGCTTAGTTCGTATTCGCTGCATTCAGTCTTTAATATCTTTAATATAATAAATAACTAATAATTAATTAGGCAAATGAAGTTGATTTTCTAAAACGAAATCATTTTAAAATATTGAAAGCAACATTACTATCAATTATTACGAATCAATGTATTACAATATATCCTATTCATATTTTTGCTAAATTGGCTTGCCACTTATATGCACTTTTATGTGCTTTTAAGATTTTTTAAAACAATTGCAAACGATTTTTTATCTATTAAAAATTAAAGTATACTGGTTTATTAACTGCATAATTAGAATAAAAATGTGTATCACTTGAAATTCTTATAGAAACTAATTCGAAATTAAATTATGAATACGGATAATATTCAATTCAAATTTTATAGATTTCACAGAAAATAATAAATCTAGAAAATAAAAAAAATACAACAAACGCAACTTCTGAGAAAAGAGGCAAAATTGTCAATAAACACTTAAGAAAACTTTATTATAACAACTATACATATAGTGTCTTTGCACAGTATAAAAAAATGTTAAAAGCGGTGTGTTTCAAGTCTTCAATGAAACCCAAGATACTCTCCTATGCTATCATGAACAAACAAAAAAATATGTATATAATTAGTTAATATATAGATTTACATATACTATTAAATATTAATATATACTAACAAACTAAATATTAAAAAAATATGCGTCGTAACTGTACAAAAAATAAACTATCTAAAACAGTAATTTTTGATTCTGATTTTTTTGTAGAATGGCATTACAAGTTACAAAATCCCGTTAACATGTTAAACACAAAATGAAGTAGTACCTAACTATGATTAAATAGCATTATTTTATGTTCAAAATGGTGTTAGTTGTACACTCGGGCCTAATATCTGTTTTCACCAGAGCATCCTGTCCGGATGCTTACATCGCGTTTCTTGAGAAAAATTACACTTGTAGCTTACTTCCTTTTAATGTCTTTCTTTTCTCTTCTAATGCCAATCTTCGCTCTTTGTACGTTTTCTGCTAACTAAACCCCTGCGTTCTTCTTTTAAAGAAAATTGATTCTGCGTAGCTTCGTTCGCGTAAAACATTCTTGTAGAAATAAACACTGATGATCTTAGGGTTAAACGCACATTACAGTTTTACACTACATTATATTATCGAACGTGTTTTGGCGTGAATACGTATACCTCTTTGCGATGGTTGTTGTTTTCAGATCACGTCTAAAATCGTATGCCTAAATCTTAACTTTATGACTGAATCATAAGTCGAAAGTCTTAATGTTATATCTAAAAGAAAGAAAAAAACTCCGTCGATAATGGAGCTTCGAGTGTATCGTTTCATTGGATTACAAGCGCGCGAAAGAGCGAGTTTACTATCGCACGTCTGCGAATCATTTCTTTTAAATCAACCGTCTACAGGTTGTGACGGGTAATCTGCAGTAAGGCACGCGTAGTTCGCTAGCGCTGTTTAGCTGAACGTCAGTGCGCAGTCCCATAGTGCGGTTATATATATTATGTGGCTTTGTAAGTAATGTTCTTGGGCGTTAAGGATTTTTTTGTATGCAAGAGTTTTTGAAGACTGAATTTGCAATGTAATTTAATGGGACTATTTTCAATTTTCAGTTAATAACCCTTCGAACACGTGCGTCACATGCTCTGAAGCGGCAAAATCTGCAGGTTCTTCGCGATGCGCCTCTTCCGTGGATACCGCTTCATCGTCAACGTCTTCGGACACTGCTTTTCACAGTGAACCGACTTCGTCTCTGGGGTTAAGCGAGCAAGAAGCCACTTCCCGTGATGCCTCTTCACTACCGTCCAGTAGCCAAGTGAATTCTCGGTCTGAATCTCCCAACGTCGCTGGAAGGGAAGACGCTTTGTCGGCTAATGAAGAGCTGAACCTCGAAGTTCGGGAACAAAATGCAGGGAATGAACAACCCGGCAATCGATGCAGGTTCGTGGACCGTGTGTCGAGATCTCAGCCGGTGCAGCGCGCAATGGGAGTGTACGATTGCGCCAAATCTTACAAATTAGTTGGCTGGGCCCTGTGTGTGGCAGAAAAGGCTGCTGAACTCGCTTCAGTGCCTGCGGCAGTGATCATAAAGCCATTTTCTAGCGTCTGCAGAACTCCAGTTGAGCGTGCAGACAAAGTTCTGTGCAAGGGTCTAGATACTGTGCAAACCATTTTCCCTTCTATCGCTTCTCCTTCGAACGAGGTGGGTACGTTATTTAATCAAGAATTTCTAGTAGTATCCATATTGCAGTTACAACTTTTTGTATTAACTTTACAGGTTGCTGAAACAAAGAAAACGTCACATGGAGCATAACTTAGTGGCTTCCTAGAACGATCCTCTGAGATTATTTCCAATAAAATGTAATTAGTTTATTTATTGGTTATTTGTAACCAGTGTGGCATGTGTAAATGGAGAAATAAATTTTCGTGGGTTTTCATTTACAGAGTTTTTAATTGAAGGTACGAGACAAATGTCCCCCTCCCCCCTGCCCGCGAACATCGGCGGGATTTAACCATCGGTGAAATAGGATACCTAGACTAGTATTAAAATATCCTTAAAAAGATTGGTTTGCTAAATTCGGCCACCCATTAATAGCATAATGAACTAAATTAAGCTTGCCGAAAGGCAATTAACATTTACGCGGTATTTCTTTGTGGAGCAACTAATTTCCGATTCAACAAAATATTGCCATAAAAATGGACATGTTGAATTAAATATTCTCAAAGTTCATGGACACGTTCGCCAGAATCCAGACAAATAGGATTAGCTTTATGTCCAGACAAATGAATATCTTCCAAAATATTGGTAAAAATTGTTGGTACGTAGCTACATGTAACAATGGTCATGAATATGCAGGAAGAGAAACTTCTAATTCTCCTGCATTAGAAAAGTGAGAAATTGAAATCTTCTGCGCCAATATGGGAAGACTTCACAAAATTCCGTTTTTTCTGCCAACTTTAACAATGTCTAAAAATGGCAGTTATTCAGTTTCTTTTCCAAAAGTCTGTTCTAAAATCGAAGCGTAAATTTTCATGTGAATTACTTAAACCTGCAGTATTTGACTAACGGTCAATGTTAAATCGGCTATCTAGGAATTTCATTTGAGACCATGTTCTCCACATGACGTGTAAATATATTCATTGTTATTCTAAGTTATTCTATAAACTAAAACCTTTGGAATTACTAGAGTATTACAAAGTGTTCATATAAACAAATACGTTACTCAAAGGTTAACATTGAGATTGTTGTAAACCAGGGCAACCGTGCTAGTTGAAGTTATTCATCACCCTGAGATTTCATGATTTAACAAATAAAGGTGTTATGGACTTCATTGAGAGAAGAGCTATGACTTTCTGGAAACTTTGAAAATGTCATTGAAGTGTAAATCAGAATACCAAGATTTATATGAAGGGAATGATGGCAAAATATTGGATCTTCTAAAAGTCAATTGAGGATTAAGGCAAGGGAGTGGTTTGTTCCTCACGCTCTTCAATAGATACAAACTTGTGGATGTATGGATTACAATGTATTTAGGGGGTGTACCAAGATCAAGAAATAAACAAATGGTCCATATGACTTACACAGGTGATAAAGTTCTTTGGCTACCTAAAATTTCTTTGGATAATATCCAAAAAATATAACATGCCTTAACCAAATGCTACAGAGTATTATATTAAGGATATCGTGTCAAACAAAACTAAGGCTATGGTATACAAAGGCAAATATTTGAGAATAAAAATTAACTGCCAAATGATTGAAAAAGTATAAATTTCTTAGGCTGTGAAATATGAAATGACAACTCCAAAATTCAAGAGAATGTAAGTGAATATAAGTTGAAGGACTTTATGAAGAAGCATTTTAAAAATGTCTAATTGCACCCTAATGAGATTTCACAAAGTGATTTCTCAACTCACACTCTGCTTCACAAGTGAAATGTGGACACTAAGAAAAAATGATGAAAGAAGGTTAGAGGCTTCCTGAATGAATTTATTAAGTGCTCTTCTGCATCTAATGTTGAGGGACAGAATTCCAAATGAAGACATAATGTGAAGGTTAAATATTGATTGTGAAGTAAATGGCATTAAAAATACCAACAGCAATGGTTTGAACATGTATACAGGATGAAGCCAAATAGACTACCAAAGTTAGCTCTGTTATATAAACCTTAGGGCTACAGAGATGTAGGTAGACCTACAAGGAGGTGGTCAGGGTTGTGGTCTGAGTCTTGTATTAGGCCATTGGCTCCCAATCCTTGGTAAGGAAGAAGAATAAGGGACTTCTTTGAGCAGACAAGACATTGAAGAACAGACTTTTCACATCTTTTTAGCCATATTACTTGTTTGAAAGACTTTATCAGAGTTTTTGTTTTTGACTTACAGAACAGGAGTTTTCGGCAGTCTTCAAAAGTGATTTGCCCTACCTATTCAGTAAAATGTGAAACTTCTTGTTTTTTTTAATGCAGCATATAATTCCCTTCAGACCCACTATTTAAGATTAAGTTTATTTCATTTAGATGTAATATTTGTACTTGGCAATGTTGCACCAGGAAACTTGGTGACAATGGGATAACGTTACTAACCTCAAGTTTTGTAATTTTCCAAAATTCGTATATACAGTTTTTTCAAATTGTTCATTTTCATCGTGTATAGTATTTACTTTTAAGTATGTTAAATCAAAATCTTTTTTTTTAGTTTCATTTTGTTTACATTATTACCTATGAACTAAATATTACATATTACCATAAATATATAAAAATATTTATCATGTATTTAAAAATTAAGTGTAAATTTAAAAACTCCATTTTTTTAATTTTAAAAATCATGTTTTTTTCCCCGTATTTAATGTTAATGTGTAGGGTATTTTTAAAGATTAAAAAATCCTTTTTCCAATTATATTTTGGTTTTCACTTGGTTTTAATGTAAATGCCAAAGTTTCTGGGGTAACTTTGCCAATGCTTGTTAAGATGTTTTTAGCACAGAAAAATGTTCTTGAGAAAATATTTTCACACAAACGTTGAAACTAGAGATGAAGGCTTATTGTGATAGATTTGAAAAAAAAATTTATATTATAAATTAACAACTCAGTTGATAAAAGCAAAGAAGTGGCAAAGTTTCCCAGTTTATTGTGTTTAAAATGGATGAATTGTATAATAAATTATTTATATTATCCTACATTCATTTAAATATAAGAAGTTCAAAGCCATGACTCTTAGATGCTGTAAAAGTAAAATGGCTGCATCATTATACAAAATTTGAATGATATGATTATCTTATATTTAATATAGTATAAAATAATTAAATGTAACCCCATTTCAACTTTTAAGAAGTTCATGACTTATGACCATAGATTATATAATTCCATCATTACACATAGAGCTGGAGTAAATAAATTTAAATAATACAAATTTAAGAAGCATTAAAAGATATTCAAAGACACATTGCCACAAAAACATTTACATTTATTATTTATTGATTTTCATTCAAAATAAAACAATTCATCTTTTGTTAATCCCATTTTTTTAATCAATTAATCATAACTTACATTGCATTTGTTTTGTTTCTGGAATCAACTCTGGTTTTGTATAACTTTCGATAGTGTGTATAATACTTGGCTATTCTTTGAAAATTATAATTTTTTGTAACAATTACTTTTATACAATTATTTAATTCACAGAATATTTTTAAATGCAACTGTTATTTAGTTCAATATTTCATGTTCATTTATTTGGTCCCTTGTTATATTTAAAAACTGAAGATGGGTTGCGAAAAGTTCCCAAAACATTGCTTTTGGACAAATTGTAAATGCATAATGCTAAATTTGTCATTTTTTAAATCTCTTTTTGAGTAGGGGGGTTTTTTTGCAAAATTATTTTCATGAAATGTGAAATTTGTTGATCTTCTTGTATTGATGGATGTGTGTTGCAGATTACAAGTGACTTTAAATATAAAAAGAAACAAATAAATTAAGACAAAATAATTATTTAATTTTTGATTTCCGTTTTTTAGGCAATCTGTAAGGAAAGATTGTTTTTGAAATTTAATTGATTTATTTCACATTTTATGAAAGGACACATTTGAGATTGAATTTGACCTTATCTTAAGAAAAACTCTAAGAAATGTAAAAAGTGATAAATCAGTTATGTAATTGTACAGTGACACTACTATGTACAATTTAAAATGTAAAATTACTAAGAAATAATAAAATATTTAAATCTCAATGCCCCCTCTCAAGAAAGAGATCTTTTATTTGCGCACTGTGTATTTCAGGTTAATTTATATACTTGTCATATACAAGCTCCACACACATTACAATAACAATAAGTATTTAATTTAGACCTGGGCATAAAATAACATGAAGTACAAGTTTAGTGAATAGTACCTGTCTGTTGTATCAAGTTTTGAATATTTTTTTTTTTTTTATTGAATATTTTAAATTGTACATGGTAATTTTATGGGACAATTTAATAACTGATTTGTCTTATCAAAACTTTACCATGGCCATAACTCTCTTGAGATACGTGAATGATACTCAAAATGAAATGATTGAATTTAAATTTTTGTGCCTGGTTCTTCATGCCTTTCAAACAACACTCATTTTGATTTAATTGTAAAGAAAACTTGCACTTGCAATGTGAAATTTCTTTGTTTGATGATTGCATAGACATAGTGAAAACTGTTTAAAGAAAATTATTCCAAGTGTCTGTGATGACTCTAAATGTGAAACTTGAAAGTGTCTAAGATGAAACACTACAACTGAGACCCTTGAAAATTGTGTAAGTCATAATATGAAAAACTGACGGTGGTAAAGTAGGATGAACACATTGAAAATGAAGTGGTTGCGATTTTAGAAAACGATACCATGTACCATTCAGTTTAAAGAAAACCAAACCTCAGAGATTGATATCTACTCGATCAATTTAAATTCAAAGCAGTCTACAAAGAGAGTATGTATTCCAGTGTATGGCCAGAATCATTTCAATGATTGAAGGATATAATGGATTTATTTCTCTATGACACGTGCTTATCTTAAAATATCACTTCTAATGGTATGTACTGGGTAAAGGCAAAACCAGCATATTGACATTATTGGTGGAAAGGCAAAACCAGCATATTGACATCATTGGTGGAAATGAAAGAAAACAAAAGGGGGATAAGCCAATTTAGGATATGTAATTTGTAATATATGCTGCAGTTAACTCCCATTTCTTCCAAGTGATTGTCTGAAGATTTCATCTTCAGAGCAGAAACGTAACTCCAGTTGATTGTAAGGTTATTCAATTTGTACGATAAATGTAAATATTAAAGCAATAATTTTCTTATTATTAGTTCATTAATGACTAATTTCAATACAATATTTGATCACCTTGCATGTTCTTATTTTTTCACAAAAAGAGATATTTTTTCAATGTCATGTTTTAGACTTACACGAGTGGAAATATATAAAAAAAATAATTCTAAGAAAATGAACCTTGCAAAGTAAACACCCATTTTTGATGTAATTTAAAACTTTGAAACTGCTCCTTAGAATG